TCCATCCAAAATCAGCTGTCTCTAATCACTAAAGACAGAATACAAAGTAAGCACTTTAATTTGCAGCAAAGGGTACATAAAAAGAGTTTCTAAACACATATATAAAGTACTGGAATACCTTACTCTAAGGAGGTTATAGAACCACTCCTAAGGGAGATCCTGAGATTTGTACAGGATCCTTTTTTAAGAGCAATTCGTGTCAGCTCTACTTGAAATATATTTTCTGGCACCTCTAAGCTGCATGGATGTAAAGAGAAGATTTTCAGGAAAAGTTATTGTTTACATACTGATGCATTTAACAGTATTCAGTTATAGCATGTTGTAATCCTGATCTGTAAAAAAAATAAATATAAGTTTTACATGAATGTAAGTTTTAGCTTCATGAGTCATGAGTCCTCATAATATACAAGGGGGAAAAAAAAAGTCAACCTCCTCTGCTCCTGCATGGTAATGGAGGGACCACAGATTGTACTGAATTGGGTGAGGAAGCATGGATTTATGGAAGTAGCTGTTTGTGCACAAATCCTACTTTAAACTGGACAGAAAAATATGTTGGGCTTCAACCCTGCCATGTAGTCAATTTATAAGAGCCAATAGTTATCCAGCCAGGATTATAATGTGGAAGCACTAACAGTTGTCTGAAAGACACTTCTTCTGCCTCACTGAGAGCCTCTGAATTCTAGTCTGATTTTTATGCTCTTCAGCATCTCAGAGGGCAGCAGCATCAGGCAGGCTGTGTGTTGGGGTCTGAGGATGTGGGAATTCTACACCTCTGAAGATCTGAGCTTCACAGATATCACTCCAGGGAAAAATATCCTTTGAAGCCTATTTCTGGTTACAGCACTTTGGCTGTCTTCTTGTGCAAATATCAGAATGGTGCTTGTTGGACTGAATAGTTTTTTCTTTGTTAGTGACACATCTTCTTGCAAGTTTTTGATATCGCTGTTTCGTTCATAAGACTTTCCCTAAAGGAATGTCTCACACCTAGGAATTTCAGGAATTTTCTCCTCAAAACAGTAGTTATTGGAAGTATTTAAATTAATCTTTTGGTGTGGCCCTTGATGGTAATGAGCTATTACCAACATGGACTCACTACAACAACAATGAAGAAATGATCACTCCATATAAGTGATAGCACAGGACAAGTTGCTGAAGTTTCTCATATCTTCTGAACTTTTCTGGAAAGCAGCTATTCACCTGCCCATATACAAATCTGTCACTGCTTCAGAGTGTGCTCAAACTGACTATACTCTGCCATAACACTAGCTTAGCTGGACAAATTAGGCTAAAATCTATTGTCACATTAATCGCTGTGGTGTGTTTTAAGTGTGAGAAAATACCCTATCCTACGTATGAGGCTGAGATGGTTGGACACAGTCAATTCATTCACAAAATACTTGTGCAGTTGCTGTGTGGCTGCCAGGGAAAGGCTGAAGGAATCCTGGGGACAGTCACTACTCACTCCCCTTGAGGATTGATCAGGATTTTTCTTTTGGCTCAACTACTCCCTAACTAAAAGGATTTGAAGTGCCAAGGGAAGCATTCTTTGTAGAGGAGAGGCTGTTGTGAACTAAATGGAACCAGTTTAATTCCAAGGACAGTTCATCTGTCTCCAAACAGCTGAGCACAAAACCTACATGCCCTATGCTCAAGAATTAATGCACAGTCACATCTGAGTTCAGAATTCAGGCAGTGAAATAGGCATTTGAAGTTGTTTGCAGTGCCTGTCATAAAAACAGAGTAATGCTTGACTGTCCTGTACCTCTTCTGCCAGTGCTGTGGAGGGATATTTGGTCTAACTAAAAATGGAGAGGCATAATGCTTCCACTCTTGACAGAAAGAAAGAAATATTTTATTACTGTTTATTTATATCAGGGACAGGTTTCAAGCCTGCTTTCCTTGCCAATCCAAAGGCAAATTTTAAAAGTAAAAAAATGAGCATAATAATCCAAGAGCTACCTGTTTCTATAAGAAATAGTCTCAAATGTGTAAAAGTATTTTAATTTCTCTGCCTGGTCTCAAACTCTGAAACTGCCTTAGACCTAGCTACCAAGTCAAAGAGGTACCATCTTCCTTATTGGAGCAACTGATAATACAAGGTAGACGACTTTCTCCAAAAGAAGCAAAAGTAACAGACAACCAAAAAGAATTTTCAGACCTACAGCAAATGTTTTAAAGTTGGGTTTTCAATTTGCAGATACCCGTTGGTAAGACAACAAAAGGTATAAAAAAAAAATAAATTGTAGTATTATTAAACCATATCCATATATTTTCTGTGCAGCCAAAGAATGGGTAGAATACTGGAAATAAAAGTGCATTCAAAAATTCTATTAGTCTGACATGGGGAGAAGAACACTGCAGTATGACTGCAGGAAAGGATGTCAGGCTAAGAATAATTCTCCACTGAGTTGTATTACAGATTGCAACTCTAACAACCTGTAGGTTTTATGGCAAAACCTGCCAACTCAAGGTATGAAAATATGCTGTCAAAACACTTTCTGAGCTGTAGAAGAGTTCAATAGCAAATAAAAGGAAAATATGCAGTTCTGACCCAACAACAAACACATTGGGGCAATTCAAACACTCAAGTCTGTTATTCCACTTCTGTGCTTACACACTATGCTTTGGATGAATATTCAGATTACTCTGGTATGTTCTCCACACACAGGTAGTTTCTGCACAGCAAGCCTCAGTGAAACCAAAAGGCTCCTAATAATCCAATACAGTATGCTCTTCTTGTATGCAAGCTAAAATAACCTAGAACCCCAACTGCTCCCAAATGCTGGAATTCTTACTTTATATGTATTTAATACATATTTAAAACATAAGCTATAACAGTCAAAACTGCTATATATGTTTCTCACCCACATATTGTGGGATTTTAGGATGGAAGTACTTGGTACCTAGTTAAAGCACAGATGTCACAGATCCGCCAAAGCTCAGCTAAATTCATCTCTGTAAGTGTTTTCTTATCTTCTGTGAAGGTAGAGGAGGAAACTGCCTGACAAAAAAGACAGATTAAGAAATATTATGGACAGGCTACTGAGAGTAGATTGGCATGAAGAACCAGGTGAAAACTGGAAGGAGAGAATGTGCATGTGGAAAGAAGGGTCGTGCAGCTGAGACATGCAGGGACCAAGCTGTGTAATGGAGCCCAGAGGAACTGCAGCAGGTGGAAGAATTCAAATATCACCCTGCTCCAGCTGTTCCCAGGGACGTTGCAGGAAGGGGATCTGCCCACAAACTCTCTTATCCACAGACACACACACACATGAAGGAGCACAGGGGCACAATACTGGGTGGGGTAACCCCAGTAACCCTGATACAAGCCCTTGCCCTGGTACCCCCAAAATGTCCCTGGGGAGACTACACCACAGCACAAAACATGCTGAGTGAACAGGAGCTCCAAAGCACCTTGTGGACCTTGTGGAAGCACATCCTAACTTGGATGAGTGTGTACACAGAACTTAACAACAAGAACAAGTGGTACTGAGGCACCTTTCCCCACTAGACAACTGCAAAACCTGTGGATCCTGCTACTTTTATAAGAGTCTGGATTTTTAGAAAGGCACATGTGAAAAACAGAAAGAGCTGGTGGCTGGAAAGAAGATCCAATTTGAAAGTAGTTCCTAGGGAGGAGGAGTTCTGCCCAAGGAAACCAAATTGTCAGCTTGTGATTACTTTCCATCCTGCATTTCACTCCAACATTTCTACCACTCCCACTCTTTGCAACAGAACATGATGTACCTGAGCTGAGAAGCCCTCTGAATGATGGCACTAATGAGAATTCATCATTGACTTTAAAAGGTAGAAACTGAACCAGAGCTGAGAAAACAGCCTCTTCCCTTCTATGGAAATATAGCAGCCTCAGAATATGCAGCTAAGGAGTAAATGGGTTTATTTATCTTAATGTCCTGTCTCATTCTAATTACAGTGAATGAGGATATCAATTACAATGTTAAAATACTGATGTTTGATCACAAATGCAAGAAACAAAAAAACGTATTTTAAGATCCAAATCACAGACCTTGATCATGGCAATGACAGCACTCAGGCACCTATATCAACCCGTATTAGTGTGCCAGATTCCCTCACACCCAAGAGACATGAAACAATACTGAAAAAACAATACTGAAAAAAAGAAGTTTGGGAATAAAAGCAACGACTAAAGTAAACAGTATCATGACACAGGCTCAACCACTGGCCTGCAATCATCTACTGTGTTTGTTTTCTTCTCCCTGGGTGGCCATGCAATGCCCCAGGAGACAGCCTAAGCCAGTGACAGTTCCTAAAACTCAGTGCAAAGCAGGCCACCCTCAGTCAGGGGAAAAGAGTTTAGATACATGGACATGAGCCATACTGCATCACTTGTCCTTAGAACTACGGAGTTGACCCATTTTATTTATGAGTTAGACAAAACTGCAGAAGACAGTGATGCAATAATTAAGTCATGCCAAATGTAAGAGTTTCCAGCTGTACTTCAGATACCACTTTCTATGTATCACTCTATGCTGCCTTTCACTTCTACTCACTTGGTGTGCCATGGGATAGTGGAAGTCCATGACAGATATCTGGACTGCCATGCAGAGAATCCATAAAATATGGAGTCTAAAGTAGACCTTGAAATATCTCTGCAAACATTTTAAAGAAATGTAGGGTCAGACCTCACTTTTGAATATAAACAGATATCCTCATACTATTAGATTGTAATAATGTGTACTGTAACATCTAGGGTGTAAATCATATGTGCCATAGAGCTGGATAAAGGAAGAATAAAACCTGATGCTTTCTCCTACTTCATATACCATCCTGTTCTAAAAAGGCAACCTAACTAGTCTAAGTTACCTTCTGAGCTAGTACTTTCCTGAATACTTCTTTTTTTCTACCCTCAGAGCTTTTTTTAAAGCCCTAAGAATACATTCCTAGGGAAAATAGGGTAACATGTCAAACTCTATGTATTTAAAGTCCTTGACTTCAGCCTCACCTTTATAGAAAATTACCTCAATTATTGTTTGTTGAAGAATGACTTCTAGACAGGCTCCACTGATACTTGGCTTCACTGTGGCTGTGAAACCTGAAGTGAGAGAGTTTTTTAATACATTTGCTGAAGCAAAACGGGAAAAAAATATTTAAATGCCTAATTCCCATTTAAACAGACAAATGCTTCTTTATTTCTTGATTTGCTCCAAAATAGCGAGATCTTGTTCTTATTTTGTATATCAGCCTGTTGAACACTACTTTGGCATACTGATATATTTTCTATTTTACCTATTGCAAAAAAAAATAATATCGTAGTGATTTGGTTTTATTTCAAATAAACAAAAAATTATCTTGTCTTATTTCTCCATTTTACACCAAAAGTCTTTCTTCAATGGACAGATCAACTGAGCTGTATTCTATCAAATCTAAAATAACTGTGGTTCTGCCAGATTCATCTGATATTTACAAAACTGTAAGCTCTCTCTATATAGATACTTTAAGTAGTTGCTATAAATTAAAACTGAGAATCCTTTTTATAGCTAAATATTTATTTTTGAAAGCATTACCACAAATGTCAGAAACAAAGTCATTAAACAATAATCTTGTTATAGAAACACTTCATGACTTGAACAATTTAGTTCAGACTTTCCAAAATGCACACCACTCAGCTCCTCTGTGCTTCCCTCTGTCAGAGTAGGAATGTATTTTATTTATGTGAGGCACCATTGAGGAAATATTTTAAGACTATATTTTTTTAGTCCTGCTACCAGTTAAAGTGGCTCAAATCCTATTCCACTGTTACTTTTTAATCCAAATCCCTTCAATATTTTGCCTTTCTGTTGTGAAAAATGGACATCGTTTTGTAAGGAAACATGCCTGCCAAAAATGATAGAAATTCTTGATATGTGGGGTTTTTCCTTTTTAACCAAAGTGGGGGTGGGGGGGTTCACTTTTAGTAGTAATTTTCTGTATTAAATAATTTTTTCCAGAAATTTGAAGGTTCTCATGACTAATTTGAAACTGAGAAATAGTTTCAATTTCTGAGTATGTCAGAGGAGCCTCTAGTCTCTTTGACATCTGTGCAAACTAGGATTACCTCCAAATGGACAACCTCAGGGACTGAGTAAAATAATATTCAATATTACATTGAAAAATCAGCTCTGAGGGAGTACAATGAACATCAGAAGGGTAGAATAATCATTCCCCTCATGAAGAAAAGGTTCCCTTTTGATGTAAGATAAACCAGCATAACAACAATACGTTGTGTGAAATTTTCAGAAACATGTTCTAAACCGTGGGTGGCTACTGCACTTTTGATGTCTGGGGTGGCTTTAGGATGCAGCATTCAAAAGAGCTGTCAGCTGAAAGTGGATGCAGCTGGAGAAAGTTGGAATCTGAACCTAGGAATGGCGTGGGCTGGCTGCAAATTACAATGAAGGCCTACATAGTGTATAAGCTTTTTTCTGCCTGAACCAATGAAAGTCATGGTAGCCAAAGTAGAAAAAAAAAAAAAAAAAAAAGTGTTTGTTTCAGTGGTATATAATGCCGCTACCTAAAATGGGAGCACAGTGCTGAAAGGCAGCAGCACACTTCTCACAGCTGACCAGGGCTCAGAGCCAGTGACTGCATCAAAAAGGGTCCTCAGCTTCCAGCAGCCAAATCACTGAGCAGTCCTCAGCAGCAATCCTTTCCAGAGAGTGCTCTGGCAGGACAGTGACAGGCTTCTGGCTAGACTGACTGACATTCTCCCGCACCTATATTAGCAGACAATTATCTGACATTTAGAAACGGGCATATATATTTATAAACCAGAGTCTCTGCTTGAACCCTATCAGAGCCAGGATTCATTTCTTAAAGGGAAACATTTTAAAAATACTTTAAAAAGCAATTGTACGCTGCTACCTTCTTATCCGACACACTACAGTTATAAAAATTGCCTCAAACTCTTCTACAGGATTTGCGTATTACTAGCATATTAAAAGGCTGGTATACTGATGCCTAAATCCCTTGTATTTATTTAATTTCAGTAGCTGTGCATATTGCTGCTTTCCTTTGGCTGACACGTGGATCTTCCTGGACACTGGTGTTTTTCAGATTCTGTTAACATGACATAATTTATTCCAGTAAAGCTTTAATTTTAGCTCACTGTGTAATCAGTGTGTATCATTTTAATTATTGTAATCTCTAAGTCAGCCCCTTAAATACCACTCTCCACTGGACTGTATGTTCTGCTTAAAAAAATAAATAGAACATTCTGAGAGAGATATGTTTGGTACATTTAGGACTAAATGCTATATTTTCATTTTACCTGGCAGAGCTCAGTGTCTTTATACTTTTAACAAATAAAGAATTTCACTTTCCAAATTAAAAGAGTGCATTTGAAACAGAGGATTCAGTACAATCTTACAGAGGGTTTATTTTAGTAATACAAAGAAATCATTTGTGTGCTCTTCTGCAAAGCATGAACATGTTCTGCTAGTAATTAGGAAGAAGAATACATATTGTTCAGAAAAAATATATTATGCATTTAGATTTTCTAACATGAAACCACAGCATCACATTAGAGAGCAGAATTCATTTGTGTATGTCAGAAACTTATGTCTTGTACTGAAACCAATGATGTGTGCATCATGAGATTAATTGCTAAAAGCAAGACTAAAAAGTCATCAAGATAATGGATGCTTCTGGTATGTTATTTCCTTCCCAAAACTAAATGAACTTCCATGTTATGGAAGCAGAATAAATATGTTACATATTTGTAGCTCAGTATGCTCTGAGGAACACATTTCTACCTATTTAGCTTGTTTAGGAAGCTCCTTGTTTAACAGCATACAAAGAAGTGTTTCTAAAATGTGGGTTTTATTTGTCAAAACTTAGCTCAGGACTCGCATGACATATATTTTGCATTAGGAAACCAACCAGTTTTGTATACTGTTGGTTATATATTTGTACCAACAGTTAACCAAAAGGATTTTGGGAAGAGAAGCTACATCTGCTAGATTAGAATATACATATGTATTTGTATGGTAACCCACAAAATATTTCTGTGGCTAGCTTCACCATTATTATTTTGCACAGTATTTTATATTACTGACTTATGATAGAATGATCTTGTGCTTTTGCTGGCATGCTAGGATCTCCAGTCCTGCTTATTTAACCTTATCTCCACAGGGTTATTTACACTTTCAGAACCTGATTTCAATTTACTTTAATTTTCTCAGAGACTTCTGTATTTATAAAAGCTGAGCATCTAGTGACCTCTGTATTCCTGACATTTCCTTTACTCTCCAGTATGAAAAAAGAACAAAAACCCCAGTGTCCCATTTCTGTTCCAAAAAAACTAAACTGCTTCCTTCAGTGGGTTGGTCCTTGTAATTGAAAATGGCAACCAGATGTTTACAGAACACACAAGAAATTTTCCTTAGGGCCTTCAGTCTTTACAATTGTTTGCTAAAGTTAGTTGGATTTCATGGAAACTTGTCTGAGGCTGAAACAAACAGCAAGTAGGGGCTCCTCCTAACTGTATTCTGTAAAATTAAAAAAAAAAAAAGTTAAAACTAGTATTTCCTACTCTTGTTGATATATTTCTAACTCCATAGAAAACCATTCAGCAAGGGAGAAAATTTGTTTCTCTTAGTACTTATTTTACATGCCATACCATGAAAAGCATCCCTATTTCATAATACACTATTCTCTTTCTACCTTCTCAAAGTTCAGCTGGCTATTATCAAAGCACAACAGATTTTTGCTCCCTTCCCTTTTCCCCACTCCCATCAGGAATATATTCTCATAAATTTTGGGGGTTTTGAGAATATTTTTCATTTTAAGAAGATGCTCTAAACTACATATTGTTTGTTCCTCCAAGCCCTGAATCACCACAGCTGATTTGTACCTGAAATCTCTCCATCTTTAGAAATCACCATTTTCCCTCTTCAGCTTTTTTCTCAAGGCTATTCATGTACTCCAAGAAGTCTGTGAGACCATCCCCCACCAGAGGACTCACTACACCCAATATAATCTCTTTACCTAATATTTCAAGACATCTAAGATTGAATGCTCCACAGCTCCAGGAAATCCATTTGATTACTTCACTAGCTTTACTCCCAAAACAGATTTCCTAATAACAACTTTGTTGTAGTACATCACACCCTGATTACTACATGCATGATGAACAGATTGTTCTTTTTTCCTTGGCAGCAGAATTTGTTAACACTTTGTGTTAACAAGTACCTCTGTTTACCCAAACATACCAGTCTTCACTCTTACTGAAGAAAGAGCATCGCTGTGTCTTCCTGTCTCCACCACCTTCTCTCATTTTCACTAATTTTGCTGATACGGTATGTCTTGGAAAATGAAAAACTGATGCCTGACAGTCACCAGCCATGGCCCTGGGGGCCTCCCAAACCTATGGCTATAGTTTATTCTCTAGACTAATTAGCAGCTCTGAGGAAACAGTTACTGGCTGCACTTACGAAGGAGCACTTCTGCAAGTTCCTACCTTACTGCTGGCCAGATGTCAGCAATTAAGCTGATACTTTTCCTATTTAGCCTCTGGTCAAAAGTATGAACAGTGAGGAGACTAGTGAGGGGTGATAGAATATGCTAAAGGAGTAACATACACAGCAAAGAGCATGCATTTCATCCTAGTTCTGACAGTGACTCATACAGTTTCTATCCTAGTTTTCTCCATCTCTAAATGATGTGGCAACATTTTCCAGCCTTGGAACTCTAACTGCAAACCAAAGTGAACTGAGTAATTTTCTTCCATGAAAAATGTAAATTTTCTTTAAAAAGTAATTTTTCCAAAGGATACCAAACAAACCAAAATGAAAAACTGACAAAGACTGACTTGGAAAACTGCTTTTGCAGAAAATCAAATGAGAATTTTCTTGCATTTTTCCCCAGCTGCTTCTTCAGTCATGCAATATAGAGAGAGACAGAAAACTTTGCAGAGAGCATCACTCCACATCCAAGCACCAGCTTTTACTGGGAGTGACCACTGCAGGGTACAAAGAAGCAACAGAACTCTCTTTACAGAGAGCCAAGAGAGGGGCAGCAGAGGCTTTAGCTTCCATAAAAATACAATTCTTAAACCACCATTTTACAGCAAAATGAGTTATGCCTGAACATATTCAGGTGGCTTTATCAGTGGGGGTATTTACTCCTTGTTGTAATACATAAGCAGTGCCACTTTAAATACCAGACAGATCTCTTGACCTTAGCACATAAAGAGAAAGGCCAAGATTTGCTCAGATTTGCTCCCATGGGTCTGTTGTCTCAATCATCCCTTCCTGTTCCTGGTGCAGCTCCACCCAAGCACCACTCCCACATCTGCAAACAGCCAGATCATCCTCATAGTTAGTTGCGGGAACCAGGGCTTAGTTTACACAGCCAAGTATCTGAACACAGCATGCTCATAAAATAGCAGAAAACAGAACAGAATTCAGTGTATATTAATAATGTCAGAAAAGAGGAAATAACTTCAGATCTAATATTCTTTGCAATATATGTAAATTTAAGTATCTATGTAGTATATAATCCCTATTTAACAATGTCAGGAAAATGAATAGGACATGAAAATGGCATTGATTTCCATGGAAATTGACAGAAAAGCTACATATTGAACAAAGAACAGATGGGTTCAATACTCATCTTATGGAACACTAAATCACACAAAAAAACCCAACCCAAATCAATATTTGTACTGTGGCAATCTTTCTAATGGCATGGCTAAAATTTAATCTTCAAAGGATATCACTCAAGCTAAAAAAAGAGGCAATAGTAAAGTTTAAATACTTAACTGCAGTATTCTAAAAATAGGAAATGAACATGTAAAAGCAATACTATGAAAATGGTTTATGATTGTTTTTTTTTTAAAGTCCTTCATTGCAATTGCAAAAGCTTCCACCAAATTACTCACACTCTAAGGCAGCAGGGAGCATATAATGTTATGCTGCACTCAGTTTGTCAGGAACTTGAATACACATGCTTTTTCCATGGCCAATCCAATGGGCTACCACTGAGCATATGCACAATCCTTTCCATTCCAAGAGCTAGTGGTAATGACAGAATTTTGCATGTTATTGCCGAATGAATTAAAATGGGCCAGTCAGATTTGTAGCATACAGCGGCACACATTTCTTGGAGCCTGAAGTTTGCTGAGATTTGCTTAACTATTAGTAAAGGTGAAGAATTGAGAAATGAAGCAAATGCCTATTAAGGGAGGGTCACCAAAGACTAATGACACAGGCACATTCAGCTAAGGACAGAAAAACTGATGGCTCTGTAAGGAAAGATGTAAGTAGTCAGTCTATCTTTGAAGATATCATCTGGGCAAAGGATGGAATTCAGGAATGATTCAGGCAGCAGGCAGTAACTAGGGAACACTATTTTTGGAGGGCAGAAATTCCTACCAGTGAAACAAATTTCTGAGATAAAACCTTCCTTCTAAAAAATGTTGTGAAACTGTTGGCAGGGTAGCACAGAGTCATAGGGACACACAAATCCTGTTAATCTTTACTGTGGTAAAGAAGAAGAGAGCTTCTCAGACTGGAAGAACAGGGAAGAAGGCAGAAAACACTGAAAAATATTTGGCAAGTTCTTCTCTGGTATTTGCCACTATGGGAGGATCTAAGGGGGTTCTGAAGCCAGGTGGCTCATCCCACTAATCTCTGACAGAGCAACACCCCTCTGTCCCGGGTTGAGGCAAAAAAGACAGGAGGGGAGGGGAGGGGAGGGGAGGCAAACACAGTACGTGGCAAACCAAATAAATGTGCCATTTGTAGATGTACTGGCCAATATAACCTGACACCTTTCTTATCAGCTGTTAGGATGAGCTGTTTGCTCATCAGCAACTTCTTTTTAACTGTTTACTTCAAAATGGATTTACAACAGATATTTACTGAAGATAGTGACCATGTTAAAACAGATTTCCCAAGGTGGTAATCCCAGCTTTCTGCAAAATCTGACTGTTCCATCATTTGCTACTAACACAGCTCTAACACAGTTCCACCTCACTATCTCCATCCCAGCAGCAGACTAAGAGACGTGTTAAACTTACAGCAAACTGACTCATTTAGGTCTGCTGAAAAAGGAAATCTCAAAGAGCTCAGAGCAGGCACAGGTATTATCAGATGTCCATGGACTTTTCCCTTCATGTGTGTTTAATTGCTAAGGAATGGTGAAAGTACAACTACTTTTTGTTCAAGCAAAGCAGCTTGAGAATTTACTGACAAAGCTATTTTTCAGTGAAAAATTAGGGGCTTGAATAATTTATTCTTGAATAATTTACTGCAGAACACATCTGTATTGATTTTTCATAGAAAACCCATAAACCACAGTCTCTTTGCTATGATTTAAAAAATAAAAAGAAAAAAAAAAAAAAAAAAAAGCTATGTTTTTCCTTTTTAGCCAGCTGTTTTCCAGTTACCAAAACTCAAAATGGTTTTGGTTGATTTGTAAGAAGTGAAAAATTTCCGCTGAAGAAAACTATTCCCCTGATGTTACTCTCTGTACTCTCTGACAGCAATGAACTCAACACAGTGCTGCAGCCCAGGTGTTGAGGATCTTTCTGGAAGATCGGTGTGCAGAGCTGTCAAATTTGGGTTTCAAACAGCAGCAGAACTGGTCCCAAAACTCTTAACAGGCCAACACAAAAAAAAAGTTAGGAATGTTTTGTGGTGAATTTTTTTCCATATATGACTTCAGCTAGAGTCTTGGCTCTCAGCCATTCAAAACAAAAAAATCCTTTCAAATTTAGAGTGAACTTTAAAAGATATACGAGCAAGGAAGACTGCACACAAACAAAAGCACCTGATAGAGTTTCTAAATAATACCAAGTTACATGAAATTACTCTTTTAATAGATTTTTCACAGCACTCATACTCTGTGTTTCTCAGAGCATTATCTATACATTTTTAATTGAGGCCTAAAGGAGCTTATTTTTCATAACTTCAAACACTCCTATTAGAAAAATATTATGCCAAAGAATCGCTCAAAATATACTTCTCCAAAATAAGGAATACTATCCCATCCAGAAGACTAAACCCCATCATCTAGGGAAGAAAATTAACTTTGAATGTAATTTTCTTAGCTGTACAAAAAGATCATTGGGTTGGTATGTAGATATGTTCTAGTACTTACTTCTTGTTTTTAAAACATAACTTCAAAGCTAGACACTTACATAACAGAGAATAGTTAAAAGCAGATTTATGCTGCCATGAAATGGAATTAGTAGAGTCTTACTCTTTGCCTTAAATTGGCAAGCATTTGACTTTTTTACATAATCCAGCATCTGCTGGAAGCTGTAGGATGTTCCTGGAAAATACCTGACCTTTTTATTATTTTTTTTTATTATTATTACTGGAAAAATACTTCAGGAAGTACTGATTCTAGCCTGTAAATTATAAATATCCACAGTTAAGCTCATTTCTGCAGAGGCAATATTTGGAGTGTAAAAACTGTACAGCAGAACTTCAGTTTGAACTCAGCACAGTAGGAAAATCTAGTGGAGTCTTTTTTCCCCTTTTTTTTTTTTGTAAGTTGCGATGGAATTTGGCATACCCACTTCCTCGGCTATTTGAAACCAAAGTATTTCACAGAGACGGTGCACATGGTGCCCAGAGATACCAACTTTTCTCTGCAGCCCATCTGAAATTAGCAAAGCCCGCAGACATGGTGTGTTTTGTCTCTCTGAGATGGAAAGTACTCAAGGAAAAGAGTGGCTAAAAGGTGACTATAAAACCAGATTAAAGTAAGAGTGTGATGAAGACAATTTACAACTTCTTGGTTCAGCCTGCCAAAGAAAATCACACGTACCTTATTTTCACGGAAGTTTCTTAAAGAAACTTGAAATTAGTGATGGAATTTTAAGCAATCTCAAGTATGGTAAATAACTGTAGTTTTCATCTGTGAAATTGTCTGGTTTGGTTAAAGCAAACTCAAAGCAAACCTGAGGTCTCTGGTAACTCCAGAAGTGTATTGCAAGCCTGAATGATGCAAACAGTACTCCCTTTAGCACAAGAAATATCTAACTACACCATTTTTCTTCTGACAGAATAGCAGCATGCATATTTTTTTCAAAGCCTTCCATTTCCTGAATTGACTTCCAAGACCAAACTGGCATCACAGTTTCAGTTCATACCTCTGAGGTGTCCAAGAACACTCAAACATGGTCATCACATATCTACCTAGTGCCCAAGCTTCTCTATCAAACACAGTGTAACTCTACACAATAGAGCTACAGTCCTTTGTGCAAGAGATCGGGATTCTTCAGTAGTCTCCTTGAAGTGTTGATCAAATTTCAACAGGAACTGAGAACCAACAGTAATTTATGCCATATTCAGCAGCAAGTACAAAATGTACTTGTCTTATACTGTGTTCTTTAACAAGCCTGCAGAACAATCAAAACATTACTAGAAGAAAAAATAACCTTCACACATACAAGTTTTCTTTAGAAGAGAAAATGATAAAGAAACAAATGTAGCAGGTATGTGTTTTGTTATGCAACATTCTATTGAAAAGCCCTCAGTTATATTGATGAAGTTGGTATGAGAAGTCATCAGGAACCAAACTGATCTGATTTAGTTGTCAAGACTATGATGAACTACTGTGCTGCATTGTTTTTTACAGAAGGATATAGCTAATGAAAGAATCACCTAACTGTGGAAAATTATCCACACAGCTGAGAAGGGCTGTAATTTGGGCTTCTATCCTTACTTTTATCAGAGTTTATATGCTTTATGTTTGTCGAAGAATGCTGGATCAATTCTACATTTAGTGATCACACTTAATTAACAAATTAACTAAGTCAAATTATTCTTACTGTGATATGGGCCCTCATGCCTCAGATCTTCAAGTCTCCTGTTTTCAAGGACTGTGACTGTATATCCATGTTTTGCCAGGATGCGCTGACAGAGCTGACGGTCCATTTCATGGTGAGCAGCAGGTGCATAGAGAACTGCTCTTCTCGTGTGGCTTCCAAAGTACTGGAGAATGGAGACATCGATCTACAGCAAACACAGTGCAAAGACAATGGTTGTAGGATAGGACATTCCTCAGCGGTATAAAATACAGTTGTTGTTTTTCACAAAATACAGCATAACTTATTGTGACAACAGTGAAAATAGTTCTAGTATGATTAAGAATTCTCTTTATATCAGGGACTTGGGACCACAAATTCCTTTTTGTCTGCCTCTCCATTTTTTCTATATTCATTTTGAACTGATACCATAAAGGTTTGAAAGCTCTGTGTAGCACTCCATGATCTGGGCTGCTCTGGTGAGATGGTAACAGCAATTGCCATCTGACTGACTGTGGCTGCTGTCACCTAAACAGAGAGGTCTTGGTAGGTCTCATGTGAAGTGTTCCAAAAAACGTGGGTTCTATGCAGATGGAAATTGCACGCATCTGAGTTGTGCTGTGCAGCATTATTAAGTAAGAAGAGTACTGGGGTAAAATCATACACAGGAATCCTATACAGAACTGGAGATTACTGTGCTCTAGAAAGTTAAATGTAACCTTGACAGTCCTTTATTGCCTTTTTAGTCCAACACCACCTAGCCCAAAGGAGGACTGGCAGCGAGACTTGTATGTGACAGGTCTGTCTTGGAACTGGCTGGAATTGACTCTGTGGGACATGGGGGAAGCTTCTGGCAGTTTCTCACAGAAGCCACCCATGTAGCCTCTCCTACTACCAAAACCTTGCTGTTCAAGCCCCAGTAAAATAAAGCATAAAAATAGGATGCTCCATGTGGGAATTAGGACACTAATAGCTGCTACAGTCTAGCTGTTCTTTTGCAATAAAAACATCATTAAAAACCAAGATTTTATTTTGATTAAAGATAGGGTTGGAAAGTTTTAGGATTGAAATATACCAGAAGGGATTAAATTCAGGACATGAAATTAGTTCTTTGCAAGCTTGTGAATTTCAACCTGACAGTTGTCAGCAGTTTAAAAACTAAGTTATTCCGTAACTTCTAATTTTAGTAAGTTTATCACTGGAGATAGGAAGCACTACACAAAAAAGTCACCACCATTTTTTGCACAGTAAACTAGACTGAAAAGAGATAGATGCTTTGATACAAATAAATGTCATTCAAGATGCATCTGGTTGTTTATAGGCCTGGGATCTAGTGCTAAAGTCACTCTTCACAGCAGTGTATTCCCCGAATGTGGGATGCAGTTTTATGTTGTGCTTGGCTGAAGTGTAAGCTTTTCTGCAGCAGTAAAGAACACAAATATTTCAGAGCCCTTAGCTTCTAACACCAAAGGTTCTTTTGCTCCAGTGCAGTCATTGCCATTCCATGGAAAGTGTTAGTATTACTGATGAAGGAACCCTGAAAAAAGTCTCAATACAACACTATCAGTCTTCCACATTTGCTAAATGTGCAACCCAAAATTAGTTTAGAAACTGAGATATTCAAGTAAAGGTTGATCACTTGCTGGCCAGAGTAAGCACACATAGCACAGGGTGAAGTCACAGGAACTGTGTTAGGTCGCCTGTTTGACAGCGTTCCTGACATCCCAGATTTTTTAAACACACTAATCAGGTGGCAAGCACAGTGTCAGAGTCTCAGATGGCCCTTGCCCACCACAGCAATGTCACTCTTGTCCCCTTCTGCCTTTGCCCCTCCTTCTTCTCCTCTTATCTTTCGATTTCCTGTTCTCTTGCAGCGCCAGCTGCTGCTGGCAGCCCTTCCTCTCCATTTCCCTTCCTCCCTCCCTGTTCCTAAATCCAGCGCTTGTCCCAGCCCCCCTCTTGTGCTCTCTCTCCTTTCTCTTCCAGGCATTCCAGCCAAATACTTCCTGCTTTCCATTTCACTTGCATCGTGGAAGAAACCCAGAAGACAGAGACACCTCTTGCTTTATTTTACTAGAAAATTCCCTTTTCCATCCACGTGTGCTGCGGGGGCCAGCGCTGCAGGGTGAACTGAGGACACGTGAGGAGTACGGAGGGGCTGCAGACCAGGACATTTCTGTCTGCTCCTGCTCCATTTTTCCTGGCGATTACAGCTTCTCCCGTCCCTCCCAGCGCGGCCTGGGACGAGGGTCCTGCCTTGGATGCGGCGGCACTTTCTGTGTCCCCCTCCTCACTAACAATTACCACTTCTATTATGCCATGAAAACACACCTTTCTTCGTGGGTGCAAAACCTCCTGCAGTGTCACCTCTGAAGTATTTTGCTTCAACCATAAAGAGATCCTGCCTCAAGCGCCCAGAAACGACCCTGCGCTCAATGCTCCAGGGCCGGCACGCCAGGGCTCCCTCGCTCGGAGCCAAGCAGCCCTGAGGCGTCCCCAGGGGCCCGGGCCTGCAGCGCCATGCGCCACGGAGGATCCCGCCTCAGCGGCTGCCTTCATGAGGATTCATCTTCCTCACGTCTCTGGGGAAGGGCTACAATGTTTATAGCGTTCTGGTTCGGCTGTGACGAATATTCAACACAACACTCATAGCATAGGAGGAAAAAAAAAATAAAAGAGGAAGTTCAGGCAGCGGCAGTGACCTGGGTCATTTCCACAAAACACAAAGGAAATGGCCCCGAGCGGCTCCACGGGGCCCACGCAGTGCCAGGCTCCCACCGGGCGCAGTCTCCGGGATGGCTGATCAGAGGCCTTGCGACAGCCCTCACACACAGGGCACAGCACCGGCTTCTGCGGGGGATCAGTGGCCTTGCGACAGCCCTCACACATAGGGCACAACACCGGCTTCTGCGGGCCCTTTTCTCGGGACACTCACTCCGGAGACTCGCAAAAGCCGCCCAGGCTGCCGGGCTCCGCAGGCTCCTGCTGCTGCGGGGAGGGACCGAGAAGGGACACCCCGGGCCGTGCCCCAGCCCCCGGGCTGGCTACAGGCGCTGCCCGCAGGCACTTTTATCCACCAGCTTCCCAAAGAGCCGCAGCGGCGTCTCTGGGACATGGAACCATTCAGGAGTCTAAATTGAATAGCTTGACCTGATGTCTAATCTGGTACTATTAAATAATATGAAGTATCTCCACACCTTTTACGGTACTTGCTTGAGATCCGTGCTTAGTGTTGCCAAATTTATCTTTCCTGCCCCGTCCTTTCATAGCTGTTTGCAGTCCAGGTTATAAGATGCAGCGTGTTCTCTCAGTTTTTTTGCCAAGCCAGTGCTGTGTAGGGTGGGTTGTCACGTACACAGAATTTTTTTAAAAATCTGGCCAACTGCATGCTGGTAGCAAGTGATTCCATACTTTTTTCCAAAGCATTATACAAAATGGACATATACAAAATCACTGGACATGCTGATCTAGTTACTACTAGCTGTTTTTTTGAGTATTTCCAATATTATAGCAATAACAGTCATGTTTATGTATTTAAAGAGTCTGCTGGTTTTCATAAAATGTTTCTCAATCATAAATATGAGGTCTGGACAGAGTTAGTACAAGAGAAGCAGCATACAATAGATGAAAATAAGCTGTTCACATATTTCCACATTTTACGGTTCTGATTTTTTTGGCATTCCTATGATTTTAATGTGCAACAGACTCAGACACACAAATAAAAATGGATCCATAACATTTTAAAAATTTGAGAATAATTGGCAAATGGTCAAATGCCTCCATGTTCCAGCCATGTTTTTAGTTCTTCCTCAGTTTGAAGACTCAGACTATTTGTTAGCAGGTCGCTTTATTACAGATTCAATGTATCTTACGTGAAAGGGATTGCTATGAACATCTGCAGCCCATGTCATACCTAGAAAATGGTTTGTTTGTCTCCAAGAAATTAATGAGGCTTTACAGCAAGGTTGAGATCTCCTATATGATTTTGGATGAGACCCAGATCAGCTTTGACATGATATACCTGCTCTTACAGCTTACAAAATACTACACTTAGCTGAGTCACTGACCGTATTTAATGAAATTGGCTGTTACAGAGATGATCTACAGCCTTAACAACTGTTCCAAACAAGACAGAATGGGCTGTAAAGTAAATAAAAACACATAAAAATTAATTTTGTAATTTTGTTTTCAGTTTACAGAAAAACATGAAAAGCACAAAAGAAAACAAATTGAGCTCCATTAAAATTTAATAAAGATGCTTTTTTAAAAAACTGTATCAAATGTATACTCCTTTGATGTGTTAACAAACAAGATAAAAGGCCCAGATTATATAATATGAAATCTGAAGAATTATGTAACCATTCTTGTGCAACTGAAAATAGACATCTACTTTCAGAGTTGCAATTCTTAGTTCAGTCTGTCTGCAACTTCCAGGGAGCTGTAAAGTTCTCTATTAAAAAGAAAATGTTTTGACATTTCCCTTGAAACTGGCATATCCAATTCTAGGTTATGAATGTATAAGGATATAATTGATTCTACTAGTCTCTGAAGTTTTCCTCTATTGTACAGAATTTCTGGGTTGTTCCAAAAAAACTAGAACTTGGTCAGTAACTGAATCTTATGATGAATAATTACTGGTTTTGTTCTGGCCAAGAAGAAAAGAGTGAAGACATTTCAAGATGAAGAGAGCAAAACAGTTCCTTGGCAGTTCTTTCAAATTCCAAGAATATTACATAATTCCATAAATATTGATGCATTGTCTATGCCTGGAAAAGAAGCAAATATACAGTTTGAACTGTTGCCATAGAATTTCACTGACCATCACTTCAACTGCAGAAACAAAATTCTCTATCCTAACATAATGGCCCAACTCATGTCTGCCTAAGCTTGTCCCAGGAAAGAACTCAAAAACTGCTAATCATCTTTTCAGCTACCCAGTTCTGGTGTCATTAGTCCCTGTGTTGATTACAAGCAGCCACTTTTCACACTGAGCTACCCAAGACTGTCAGAGACTTGGTCTAGTAGCTTCAAATAACTTGACTGCACTTACTTTAACCCCACTGCTTCCTGCAGGTATTGAGCAGCTGAAAAAGAGATGTATGAGCCACTGTGCAAACCAAAAGGCCTTTGCATGAAAGCAGAGTGCAACAAAAATACCACAAAGGAAAACCGCCCTTATAAAAACAAGGCCAGCACTATTAGCAATAT